GCTGACTTCTCATCAGAAACCCTGCAGGCTAGGAGAAAGTGGCGAGATATATGCCAAATCTTAAGTGATAAAAACTGAACCCAGAATACTGTACCCTGCAATGCTTTCATTTATGAGTGAAGGTGAAATAAAGACATGCCACAACAAACAGAAATTGAGGGAATTGGTCACCACACTCTTCCAACTTTACAAAAGATGCTTAAGGATTTGTGCTACACACAGAAACACAGAAAGATAGTCATCATTCTGAAAAAAATGGGAAGGCAACAAATCTACCAGTAAAAGTACAAAGGAAATCCATAGTAAGCAATAGAAATATTTATGGAAAAATGGCAGGGTGAAGTCGTTACTTATCAATAGTAACTTTGAATTTAAATGGCCTAAGGTCTCCAGGCTGGCTGAACGGATTAAATAATAAGATTCCTCTATTTGATGCCTACAAGAAACGCACATCACCAGCAAAAATACACACAGACTGAAAGCGAAGAATGGAAAAAGTTATTACAGGCTAATGGAAAGCAAAAATGAGCAGGTGTACGCATGCTAGTATCATGCAAAATAGACTTTAACACAAAAAGTGTTAAAAGAGACAGAAAGAGCACCAAAATAATTAATGGATCAATTCAATGGGAAGATGTGACTAAAACAAATATATATGCACTCAATGTCAGGAAACTTGGCTATTTAAAGCAAATGTTAATGGAACTTAAGGAATATGTAGACTCCAATACAATAGTAATGGGGGACTACAACACCCCACTTTCAGCTCTGGACAGATCAACTAGATAGAAAATCAGCAAAGAAACAACAGAGCTAATTGACACTATGGACCAATGGATGTAGTTGATAACTACAGAACTTTCATCACACAGTTGCAGAATGCACATTCTACTCATCAGTGCATGAAACTTTCTTTAGGATAGAGCATATTCTAGGCCATAAAGCAAGTCTTATCAATTCAAAACAATCAGATTCATACCAAATATCTTCTCTGACCACAATGGAATGAAGTTGGAAATTAACAAATCAGAAATTTCTAGAACATATGCAAACACACAGAGACCGAACAACATGCACCTGAATGAACAGTGGGTCATAGGGGAAAGCAAAGGAGAAAGAAAAAATTTTCTGGAAATGAACAGAGACCAAAACTTATGGGATACAGCGAAAACAGTGTGAAGAGGGAAGTCTATAGCAATTGGTGCCTACATCAAGAACTGGAAAGGCACCAAATAAATGAGCTATAAATGCATCACAAGGAACTAGAAAAACAACAAACCAAATCCAATATTAGTAGGAGGAAAAATAACTGCAATCACAGAATAATCAAAATTGAAACAAAAATACAAAAAATAAAAAAGTGAAATGAAAAGCTAGTTTTTTTCAAAAAAATAAACAAAAATGATACACCATTGGCCCAACTAACCATAAAAAGAGGGAGAAGACCCAAGTCAATAAAATTAGAGATGAAAAAGCAAATATAAACAACAGATACCACATAAATAAAATTAATCATCAGAAATTACTACGAAGAGCTGTAGGTCAACAAATTGGGAAACCTAGAAGAGATTGATATATTCCTGAACACATACATCTACCAAAATTGAGTCATGAAAACATAGAAAACCTAAACAGACCAATAAACAGACAGCGATTGAATCAGTAATAGAACCTTCCCAACAAAGGAAAACCCAGAATCTGATAGCTTCACTATTGAATTCTATCAGACATTTAAAGAAGTATGAAACAAGACACCCACCTTATACTTTACACTTTACATCAAAATCACTTAAAACGGATCAAGGACCTATATCTACAACCCTATACCATCAAATTACTAGAGGCCATTGGGGAAACTCTGCCAGACATTAGCACAGGCAAAGACTTCTTGGAAAAGGCCACAGAAGTACAGGCAATCAAAGCTTAAAATTGACAAGCGGGATTATATCAAGCTAACAAGCTTTTGCACTGCAAAAGAAACACTTAGCAAAGTGAAGAGGCGACCAACAGAATGGGAGAAAATATTTACAAATTATGCAATTGATAAAAGATTAATGACCAGAATATATAATGAAATCAAGAAGCTCAACAAGAACAAAACAATCTAGTTAAGAAATGGGCACAGGACTTGAACAGCTATTTTTCAAAAGACAAAATTCAAATGGCCAAGTGATACATGGAAAAAGGCTCAAGATCACTAGCCATCAGCGAAGCGCAAATCAAAACCAAAATGAGGTTTCACCTCACCTCAGTTAGAATGATTCTCATGCAGAAATCAATAAACAACAAATGCTGGCAACAATGTAGAGAAAAGGTACCCGAATCCACTGTTGGTGGGAATATAAACTAGTCCAGCCACTGTGGAAGACAGTATGGAGATACCTCAGAATTCTGCATGACCCAGCCATTCCACTCCTGGGAATTTACCCACACGGAATGAAATCAGCATATGAAAAAGTGATCTGTACCCCAATGCTCATTGCAGCTCAATTCACAAATAGCTAAGATATGGACTTAACCCAGATGTCCATCAAGCAATGACTGGATACATTACAGTAAATATACACTATAGAATACTACACAGTGGTAAAAAATGAAACCCTTTCTTCTGCAACAAAATGGATGCAACTGGAAACCATTATACTTAGTGAAATAAGCCAGTCCTCCAAAGACAGATACTGTGTTTTCCTTGATCTGTGGTAACTCATAGAGTACCTAAAATGTAAACTATAGGAGTGAAATTGACATTTTTGAGATTCTGTGATTGTTTACAGCCCTTGTGTCAACTGTTGAGGAACAGTGTTTTTTTTTTTTTTTTTCCTTTATACTATTTGTTTACCTCTTTACTTGATGTAGGGTTATTCTTATTGGTAGAAAGTAAACTGAAAACAGATTTTTGTAATAATTAAGAATGGGAATGGGTGAGTAAGGAGGAAGAAGGTTTGGAGTGTGGGCTGCAGGAAGTGTAATGTGGGAAGTATCACTGTGTTCCTAAATCGGTACAATCTGTACATATGAAATACATGAAACTTGCATAGCTTAAATAAAATTAAGAAAAAAAAACCCAGACATGCTAATAAAAAACTATCTCTCTAGGAATTCTATATGTTCTTGGTGCACATGATGATTATGGGGGACAAGATGTCCTCCCATGTGTCCTGGGAAGGCCTGTGGGATCAGTCAGTCTGAGGAGCCTGTGATGTAACTTAGAGTTTGAGGCTGAAGTCTGCAAGTTGAGGAAGCTGCAGTTGGAAGTCCTGGAGGCTAAAGGCCTGAGAACCAGAGCTCTGATGTCCCAACCCAAGAAAGGGTGAATTCACTCTTCCTCCATTTTTTCCCTTTTTAGTATCTCAATGGATTGGATGATTTCTGCCTGTAGTGATGAGGGCAGCTCTTTTGTTACCCAGCTGCTAGGATTTAAATACTAATATGTCCTGGAAATGCCCTCACAGACATACCCAGAATTCACATTTTACCATTCATGGGGTATTACTGAGCTCAGTCAAGTTCACACATAATTTAAACCATCATAAATGAATTTGTTGCATTATCCTTCTGTCTTGGAGCTAATATTAATTTATGTGATTTTTAAAATTTGCTATGCAGCTCTGTGGCTTCACCATGTAACTCCTCAAAAATAATACAAATTACTCATATTACATGAGTGTAAGCCTTCCACCTGCAATGTTTAAAGACGAGTGAACTAATTCTTTTTTGAATTCTAGAAAGTTGTTAAGGCAGGTGTTCAATAAAAAATTAAGTGTAATAGTGAAATATGTATATTTGTATTTTTAATCAATCTTTTCTGTTGTCCAGTTTTCTCATTAAAGACAGTGAATATTGTAACAGTGAGAGTGATTTTCTTCATAAAAAGATACATTTGCATATGGTACCACTATTTTTCTAATAATATATTCCTTTTGAGTCATTATTCTGCTTTTTGAGCAAAATTTCATTAGAATTCAGAATGCTTTTTCCCTATCAAGGCTTAAACTCCTGTGCAATAGTGATGCTCAAATTATTTAAATGTACGTTCATTTTGCTTTGTAGCTCTACTAATGGCTGTATTATTTTTACATAAATATTTGTATTTTATTTCAATTTCTGAGAGTGGAAATATGATTTAAACAAAAAAGGGATGCTTATTTGTGCTCGATGAAATGTACACAGTGAAATGTTTTTAAAAAGGCGATTTGCATGATTTAAGGTAGTCAGACAAATGGATTTCCAAATGCTGGTACCAGAGAAACCAGGCGTAGCACTGCCATCCTGGGAAACTACGGTGATGAGCATTCCGCTCACAGGTAGAGCAGCAGGAGAAAGGAGTTTGTGCTGGGGAAAACGCTGACAGATGGCAGATTTGCTGGTTCCTTGCTCTCATAATGAAGCGGGATGCTCAGCCTGAGCTGCAAGCCAGTTATTAATGCATTTTTCATTTACTAAGGCCAATAAGATTTTATTGTTGTAATGGGTAATGTTTCTGGCTGCTGTAGGACAGCAGACAATTTATTCAAATATTAAATTAAATTACTAAAGGTAGAGTAACATTGCCAGAAAAACAAAATTAAAATAAATCTGCAGCACAACATTAAAATTAAAGGTTCATGGCAAAATAAAGGACAAAGGTATTTTGACTACACTCTAGGGAGATTCTTTGAAATAAATGCTATGCATATATATGTACATACATATTTATGCACACATACACACATATATAAATCATATAGAATCATATACCAATGCACAAAATTTCATGCACATACATAAAATCACATACAAGAATTTTTTCTGAGACAAGGATTCATGTATATTTTATACACTATCAACAGTACATATTGTGGTGGTTACCAAGCTATAATCTCTAGGATCTAACCCATCTTTCTATACCCTGCTCTGTGATCCTGGATCTAAGACCCAGCAATCCAAATTTACCCTTCGCCAGCAATCTCCTCATTAAACCCTGCCAACAGAAACTGTTAGATGGGAGGTTAGGGACTCACTCCTTCCACTTCTAGTCCGCCTCCTGTTCTGGTGAGAATCACCCAGCAGCAGCTGTAGCTCCGGCTGCTCCTGCTGTTGCTGCATTGCCTTTGTGAGCAGCGGAATGCAGCGTGCGGCTTTTCAAACACTTAAGGGGTGAGTCTGTGCAGCTCCCTCAGACACCTCAGCTGAAAGTTCGATTCCTGGCCCACAGGACCTCGCGTCCCTGTGCAGAGAGAGGGGCAGCAGGGGAGCATCAAGCTCTTGCGGGTGGTTTGCGTTTCCTCCCTGAAGCTTCCTCCCCCAGCTCCTAAGATTAAGAGCTCCATTTTTTTTTCATTTGTTTGTCCAGAGCTGGGTGTGGTAGCTGCTTCCTGAAACTGCTGCCTCCATGCTAACTGCTGTTGTCATAGATGTTTAAAAGAAAATCAATTGTTTCTGTTTAGATGACCAGTACAATTCACCACTTTTAAGTGAACTCTGACTCAGATATTATCCAGAAAGCTCAGAAATTCCATAGCATATTGGTTCAATAGAAGGATTGAAAATGCAGTTACGTTAGTGCATATGTGGAAAATCCAATTTTTATTAGAGCTCTACTCGTCCAGTTACTTTATTAAAAATGACAACATGGCAAATTGTTGATAAAACGAAGACTTCTAGTAAGGGTGGGTGGTCTGCATTAGTTCCAATTGCTCTTGGGAAACATGAGGGACTTCAAAATGTTTGTGAAAAAAAAATGGAATTAAAAGTGTGAATTTTTTGGTGAAGAGTTGTATTATGAAAAATCTATGGATACATTTCAACATTTTTGGACTAAAATAAACTCCTAAGGCTAATTTCATTTTCCCATGGACTTTTTAAAATGCACTTATGAAACCTACAGAATTAAGTTAGTATTTCCTCATGACTTTACCAAGCCTCCATCTTCCAATTAAATTCTCAGTTTACAGGGACACTGACTTTTTTTCCACTCTTCAGTTACAGTCCTTCCTGCTTTCTTGCCTGTATTATCACTGCCACCAGTTTGGCTCTGCTCCAATTCATTCTCCAGGCTTTCCCAAATCAGTGTTTTCCTCCCAGAATGTTTGACTCTTCCTGTCACTTAGATACTCACAGTCCCTGGGGGGATCTTTAGTGCAAACTCCAGTCTCCTAAGCTTTCCTCTGTCTGCAGCCTCAGAGCTCACAAAGTGCACTCCCCCACTGGACCTGGGATTCTAGTTCCATTACTACTTGAACTTAAGTTGAAAATATGCTTTTGATCTATGTTTCTTAAAGGTCTATTTTCTTCACTTTGAGACTCAACAAATGATTTAGTTTGAATGAATGATTTCCTTCTATTATTTTACTGATTAAGACTTATTTAACTATTAGGATTCATCATCAGCTACATTATCTGTTTCTTCAATTTTGGATTACCTAAATAAATGTCCATATGCTCCTATGTACAGCTATGTATAACTACTTTGTGGCTCATTTTTCTATTTTAATTGTTTCTGGTTACCTACGTAGAAAAATGTTCATATTAAAGTATAAACCTCCAATGGCAAGGGTACAATAAGACTTACAGATAACTGTAAGCTGTTGAAAATGAGGAATAATCAAGGTAACTATATAAATCAGCCTCACACACATCAAAAATCAGGGTGAACACACTCAGGAATTCTCAAGCAGCTGAGAAAATCATATAGATTTTATTTACAAAAATTCACCAAACTCAACCCTTGGTATTGGACAATAATTAACAAAGGAACAGTTTACTCAACTACATTTATTTATTTAAAACAAATTAAAATATTCATTTTTAGCTATCGTATTTTCAAGGTTCAAAAAGAGATTAATTGTTGTGCACTAAAATCCTGGTTTAACAATAATGCTGACACATTTCTGTGAGGATTATAAATTGCTGCAAAGTTAGCACTAAAAATGTTCAATATCTATAAAAATTACAAATGCATCAACTCTTTCTGCTAAATTGTCCGGCATCTAGAAATCTATTCTATAGAAACAGTATTTGAGGTACAAAATGATTAATTTACTAATGTTAGGATCTTTAAAAAATGGAAAATGCATATTATGAAAAATTACATATAGATTTCAGAAATTTTGTAAACCATACATATTTTTAAAATTTTTATTTTTTTGTTTTTTAAGAACCTGTAGATTGAGATAGTTAATAGATGATAGACAAATAGATGACAGATAGATAGATAGATAGATACCTCCCATCTGCTGGATGCCCACATTAGACAGGGCTGGGCGAGTCTAAAGCCAGGAGCCTGGAACTCATTCTGAGTCTCCCACGTGACAAGGACTCAAGCACTTGAGCCATTATCTGCTGACTTCTCAGGTCCATATTAACAGAAACTTAAATTGGAAGTGGAGCTGAGACTTGAACCAGAGTCTGATACAGGATATGGGGAATCTAAGTGCAATTTAACCACTATGTCAAATGCCTCTTCCTCCTCCTAATTTTTACAAGAATAAACTTGTGTTCTAATTCCATTTTTCTAAAATTGTTTCAATGTTCTCTCATAAATAAGGATTCAGGCAATGTTCTTTCTTGAAGGCTTAGAATGAAAGGAGGGATGGTAAAATACAGACTGTTAGCAGTTATAAAATATAATTACAAATAGTAAGTAATCTACAATAATATCTAATGCATTATAAAGGAGGTGTATAACACTGTAAAATATGTCATCTCATGTAGTTTGGGGATTTATATCTTGATTATAGTAATGGCAACATTACTCAACACTTTCATGTATTCTTCCTCTTCCAATCTTTGTCATTCCTCCCATAAAGAGGTAATCTATTTCCCCATTTGTTGAAGACTTGTTTGACCAACAGAGTGGGACAGATATGAAAGTGCATTAGTTTTTAGCCCTTGCCTCAAGAGAACTTGCATTCATCTGCTCTTTTTCTTGGAACCCTCCCACCGCTGTGTGAACAAACCGCAGGTGGATCAGATCTGTGCCTGGTTCAGAGCTTGGCAAACACCGCGCATGTTAAGCAAGGTCATTCTTGCAGGCAGTCCTGCTGAAGTAACTGATTCAAATGCATGAGCAAGAGCCCACTTGAGGCCAGCCTTGTGAAGTCAGAGCAGAACCATGTCCTGCAGACTTCTCACAATAAATGCTCATGTTTCAGAGTTACTGAGTTTGTGAGTGCTTTGATAGGCATGATAGTTAACTGATAGTTTTCCCCACAAGCATAGGATCCCTCTGGAATACTCACATTGTTGATAATATTAAACATTTCCAGAGAGGAGAAAGTGGTTATTGTTTGGACACAGGTTGGTAGGCAGACTTTCCACTGTATATTCTTTTGAAATTTGAATGTGAACTTGTACTGTTTATTTTTGAAAATCAATTAAGGTAGCCCAAATTACAAAAACAAAATAAGCATTAAAGAACAGAACTTTGGTGTTAGGAATATCTGGGATTGTTTATTTATTTTAAAAGTTATGTAACTATTTTATTTACTTGAAAGAGACACACACAGAGAGAGAGAAAGAGAGAGATGGAGAGAGAGAGAGATTGAGAGAGAGGGAGAGAAAGAGGGGGAAGAGAGAAAGAGATAGAGAGAGAGAGAGATAGAAAGTGAGAGAGAGAGAGAGAGAGAGAGAGAGAGAGATATTTCATAGCCTGGTTCATTCTCCATATGACTGCAAAAGCTGGAGCGGGGTCAAGCTGAAGCCTGGACCTGGAACCCAATCTGGGTCTCCCATGCCTGTGGCAAGAACCCAAGTACTTGAAGCGTCACCCGCTGCCTATAATGGCGTGTGTTAGCAGAAAGCTGGGATCAATAGTGGAGTTGGACTTGAACCCCGGCACTTGAAATGGGATATTGGTGTCCTAAGTGGTGTCTTAATGGCTACACCAAATGCCTATCAAACATCTGGAAATAAATTATGCTTCATCATATTATTTATTTTGTGACTTTGGAGAGGTTACTAAATTGTTCTTTAAACTTGAGAAATAGAGTCAACCTATCACCTTCGATTTGTTTCATGAGAATTAAGACATGATTTACAGCACTTAGATCTTGTTAAGAGATTACTACTGTTGTGGAATAATGTTTTATTTTTTCTTACTTTTTGTAGAATTCTTTACTTAGTGCAGGGTTAATCTTATGATTAAAAAATAAACTGAAAGCATGTTATTGTAAAAGTTAAAAGAAAGCATGAGAAAAGGAGGAGGGGATAGGAGTACGGGCAGGAAGGAGGATAGGGTGGGAAGCATCACTATGCTCCTAGATCTGTATGTATGGAATTTGTTCACATTATGTAAATAAAAAAGAGGAGATTATTTTGGTTACATTAGGGGAAGTTCTTGGGTGCACCCTATTGTGGGCACAGTGCCATCACAAAGAGCCTCTGTGTCAGTGAGAAGGGGGATGTGATGGAGGAAGATTCACACGTTTAATTTCCCTGTGTTATTCCTAGGCCTGCTCTTCATACTTACGGTTTTCTAAAAATACGTGAATTATAGGTATGATCCTGGAGTCACGAGAATCAGAATTATTTAAGAAAATACAAACATGAAACAAAAACAAATTTCCTTTTGATTTGGAAAATGATGTATTATTTCTAGAAACCAAAAATTCAAAATACTTCTTTAAATTCAAATGAGGGGAGGCATAGATTGTTGGCACATATTAAATAAAGGGAAAGAGCATCATTATACATTTTTAAATATCTCTCTTGTTCTTTCATTTACTTATAATTTGGCTATCACCATTGTAGGACCCCAAAAGTGGTGTCCTCTTGTGACGACCCCAGAAACACAGACTCCAGACCAGACGATGCAATAGAACAGGAGGTAATTTTATTTCATTTGTGCAAATGGGCCCTCTACTGCTGCAAGCAGCAAGCAAGCGAGAGGAGCCCCGAGCAGCTATCTCACACAGCTTTTAAGGGGCAAAACCACAAAATTAACATACCATAGGGTGGCGTAAGTTTATTGGGTAACTACAAGGGGAGGAGGTCGTCGAGGAGGAGGAGAAACGGGGGCTACGTGCCCTACGTGTCTAAGCTTGGACAAGGGGAGGGGGTCATTGAAGAGCAGAAAGGGGTGGCTACGTGCCCTACGTGCCTCACGGTTTCTTTGTTAAGCTTGAACAAGCACAGGGGAGGGGGCTTATCTACATAGAAGGATGTTCTGTTGCCTGTATCTCTGGTTAGTAGCTAACTGCTTTCTCTGTGAACCGGTTTACTCCCCATTTCCCAAGGCCGTCTCTGGAACTGTTTGTCTCAGGAGCCCCATTTTTTTTTTTTTTTTTATTAAGGCTACTTTTATGGTGGCTCATAGCCGCTTCTTTCATTCCCCCATTTTCTCTTTGAACTAATTTTAATCCTAAAATTGTGTGCCCGTTAATGAGGGGTTTCAATATGGTCACTGGTGGCCAGGGCTTGATACTGTTGTGTGAGGACTAATGCCTGTACGGTGGACAGCCTATCTCTAACAAACTGGAGTAATCAGCATCTTCGGTTTCGGTATCTACATCCCGAGGGAAGATTGTCTCTGACCGGACCCGTTGGATTCAGAGGGATGCTGTCCTGATCGGGTAGATCCCAGGTATCTAGCCCCAGGACCATCTGGCATACGTCTGGGTGGAGAGAAGGCCACCATGTCCCTGGGACCCGAGTGTCGTTGGTTGACCAGGCCACGCTACCCGAAGGGGAGATCACTTCCCAGGTGAGCTTTTGCGGAGTATGGGCGTTTGAGAGGGACGAGCTGGATAGGGTGAGACTAGGGTGAGTCATAAGCAATACAGGCGACAGGCTAATGATTACAAACATTAAGCAGTTTTTAAAAGTCTTATCTTGAGGGGGTTTTGAGTGCGCTGGAGTGTCCATCTGGCTGAGTCGTCCGCAGGGCCTTCTCCCTCTGGCAGTGCCTTCTTGACGTGGGAAGCGTGAACCCAGGCGGCAATCCCGTCGACCTTCACTGCAGTGGGTGTCGTCAGCAGCACCGTGTAGGGTCCCTTCCAATGCGGCTCGAGGGTCCTGGACTGATGTCTGCGGACGTACACTGAATCTCCAATCTGGAACGGGTGTGGCACTGTAGGGCACTTGGATTGGTACACTGCCGCTAGAGGTTTCCACACGTGCTTTTGAATCAGCTGCAGAGCTCTCAGTCGGGTCTGCAGACTGGGGAGAGTGGCATAAGAGTCAATGCTAGGCCCCAACAAGTCAGCTATTGGGGGAGGACCCCCATACAATATTTTATACGGAGTTAACCCAAACGCGGAGGGAGTGTTGCGGGCCCGGAATAGGGCCATTGGTAATAACTCGACCCAGTCTCTAGCGCCAGTCTCCATCATTAATTTGGTTAAGGTCTCCCTTTTTTTTTTTTTTTTTTTGTTCTATTTATGCGCTTTACCTGTCCTGAACTCTGGGGTCTGTACGCACAATGCAATTTCCAATCAATCCCCAGTACCTTGGCCACCAACTGACTTACCCGGGAGACAAAGGCCGGCCCATTATCGGATCACAGTACCTTAGGCAGGCCAAACCACGGAAAGATTTCTTCCAAGATTTTCTTGACCATTACCTGCGCTGTTTCCTTCTTTACCGGAAAAGCCTCTGTCCAGCCGGAGAAAGTGTCTACAAATACTAGGAGATACTTAATTCCATACCTACCGGGACGAATCTCAGTAAAGTCCACCTCCCAGTTCGTTCCCGGGCGTGCCCCTCGCATCCTTGCTCCCTCTGGTACTTTAATACACTTTGGATTTACTTTTGCACAAGGAACACAGGATTCTGTCGCTTGTTTTGCTAATGAGTCCAGTCCTATTATGAAATAGGTTAGTTCCTTTCTGTCCAGTAGGGCCTTTAACTTTTTATGTCCCAAGTGGGTCCATCTATGGTGGTCTTTTATGAGGTCCTTGGCTTCCTTTCTCGGCAATACTGTTTTTCCCTGGATCTCCCAGACCTTACACTGGTCGTTGTACGCGCCTCCCAGTCTTTGGATAGCTGTCACATCTTGCTCCGAATATGACCACCCAGGGTTATTTGAGGTTTCAGATGACTGCGTTACTAGAGTGACGCTGTCCAGGGCCCTTGTTTTAGCTACCTCATCCGCCATTCTATTCCCCTTGGCCACTGCGTCATCTCCCTTCTGATGACCTGGGCAGTGGATGATGCTCACTTTCTTAGGAAGGTGGAGGGCTTGTAGGAGGTCTAGGATCTCCTGTTTATTTTTAATGTCCTTGCCCCTTCAGGTTAGCAACCCTCTCCTCCGATATATTTCTCCATGTATATGCGCAGTGGCAAAGGCATAACGGCTGTCTGTATAAATATTTACTCTCCGATTTTCAGCAGCACAAAGTGCTTGGGTGAGGGCCACAAGTTCAGCCTTCTGTGCCGAAGTCCCTGGGGGCAGAGCAGAGGCCCATATGACAGTTTTCCCATTAATCACTGCCGCCCCTGCCTTTTTCTCACCTTGGTGCAAGAAGCTGCTCCCGTCCATATACCAGGTGACTGCGTTTGACAGGGGTAGATCGGTCAGGTCCTCTCGGGTCCCGTGCACTTCGGCTAACACTTGGTGGCAGTCGTGGTTGACTTGTGATTCAGACCCCGGCTCAGGAAGCAGGGTGGCCGGGTTGATCGAGGCAGCAGTTCCATACTGGACCCATTCAGGGTTGAGCAGCATGGCCTGGTAGTGGGTGACCCTGGCGTTCGAGAGCCATCTATCTGGCGGTTGGCGGATGACGGCCTCGATGGCATGGGGTGCCACTATGGTAAGTGGTTGCCCCAAAGTCAATTTGTCTGAGTCTTTCACCAAGACGGCCACAGCCACAATCATGCAGAGGCAAGGGGGCCACCCCGAGGCGACACTGTCCAGTTTCTTTGAAAAATACGCCACAGGTCTTTTCCAGGGCCCCAAATCCTGAGTCAAGACACCTTTTGTCATTTTTCTTTTTTTTTTATCCACATAGAGGGTAAAGGGCTTAGCGGGGTCCGGGAGGCTTAATTCAGGGGCCTCCAAGAGGGCCCGTTTTATTCTGTCAAAAGCTAATTGTTGTTCCCTTCCCCAGATGAACGGGGAATTTGTCCTGGTTAGGGGGTACAGGGATGCTGCCATCTCCGCAAAACCCGGTATCCAGAGGCGGCAGAGACCGGCGCTGCCCAAGAACTCCCTGAGGTGACGAGCATTTTTAGGCGGCGGGATGAGCGCTATGGCCTTTTTCTGTTCCTCAGTCAGCCACCTCCGACCCCCCTCCAATACGTAGCCCAGGTAGGTCACGCATTGGGTGCAAAGTTGGGCCTTTTTCGCGGAAGCCCTGTATCCTAGCTCTCCCAGCCTACAGAGTAGGGCCTCCGTATCTCTCGTGCAACCCTGCTCAGTCTCTGCAGCTAACAATAGGTCATCCACGTATTGTAGGAGAGTCAACTCTGGGTGGCTTACCCGGAAGTCTGCCAAGTCCTGGTGTAGGGCTTCATCAAACAGCGTAGGGGAGTTCTTGAACCCTTGGGGAAGCCTGGTCCATGTTAGTTGTCCCGAAGACCCAGTCTCTGGGTCTTTCCACTCGAAGGCAAAGAGAGGTTGACTCTGGGGACTCAGTCTTAGACAAAAGAAGGCATCTTTCAAGTCAAGCACTGTATACCAAGTTCGGGTCGGGGGCAGGGTGCTCAACAGGTTGTATGGGTTAGGGACCGTGGGGTGAATGTCCTCAGCCCTACGGTTTACTTCCCGTAGGTCTTGCACTGGCCTGTAATCATTAGAGCCAGGCTTTTTGACTGGTAACAAAGGGGTGTTCCAAGGTGACCGACAAGGTCTCAATATGCCCAGTTTTATCAGTCTCTGTTTTGCGGTCGAATTTCACTCTTCGCCTCCGCAGCCATAGGATATTGGCGGATTGATACGGGAGTGGCCATGGGCTTCAGGTTTACTATCACCGGGGGCTGTCTGATAGCCAGCCCTACTCCTCCCGTTTCCGCCCAAGACTGGGGGAATTTAGTAAGCCATTCAGATGTTACTTGGGGCTGAGCTGATAGGGGGCTCTCGTGAAGGCTGTGTTCGTCTTCCAGCTGGAGGGTCAACGCATGGAGGGGTTGGCCTGCGGGGCCGACTACTGTGGCTCCCTTGTCTTGGAAATGGATCTGGGCCCCAACCTTTGAGAGCAGATCCCTTCCCAGCAGGGGGTATGGGCAGTCCAGCACTAGTAGAAACGAATGCGTGACCCGCCCTGTTGCCAGGTCGACTTTATGCTCAGTAGTCCATTTGTACAGTTTTTCTCCAGTGGCCCTCTGGACCCATGAAGTCTTGGAACTAAGGGGGCCTCCGGCCATTGTGAGGACTGAATGTTGGGCTCCCGTATCGACCAGGAAGGTGACTGGCCAGCCTCCCAGTTTTAGAGTTACCCGGGGCTCAGGGGGAGGCGCCTGGCCCTGACCTACCTAGTCGTCGTCTTCCAGCGCCAAGACGGGCATCGCTCTCCGCTGGCGCCTTGGCTGTCCTTTGTTCGGGCAATCCTTAGCCCAGTGTCCTCTTTCTTTGCAGTATGCGCACTGGTCTCGGTCCAACCGTGGCCTCCGTTTGTCTCCCAGGTCCCTATCTTGTCTGCCTTTAGTCTGCTCTGGTCCTGTGACTGCGGTGGCTAGGATTTTAACTAAGTCTTTGTTCCTTTTTTTATTTCTCTGGTCTTTCCTACGTTCCTGTTCTCTGCGTAACCTCTCTTTTCTTTTCTCCTTTTTTTTTTTTTTTTATTGAAAATCTTTTCTGCCTCTTTAACTAGGTCCTGCAGTGTATACCCCTGCAACCCCTTCAGCCTCTGTAGCCTTGTGCGGATGTCTGGGGCCGATTGTCCAATGAAGGACATGATTACATCGGCCTGCCGGTCAGGGGCCTGTGGGTCAAAGGGAGTATACATTCTGTATCTTTCCATTAGCCTTTCTAAAAATTCTGCCGGAGTTTCCTCACTACCCTGCACAATCGCACGTACCTTGGCCAAATTGGTGGGGCACCTTCCTGCCCCTCGGAGCCCTGTCAGGAGAACCTGGCGGTAGAGACGGAGTCGCTCCCTACCCGCTGTCGTATTTTTTTTTTTTATTTTACTCACACAAACCTTAATTTTTATTAAAAACTAAGTACGGAAATGCTGAACTTCGATTATTTTTCCAACTACCCATCATTCTGTCCTTAAAATATCCCCTTTCTCTCTCTTCCTCCCTCTTTCCCTCCCTCTCTGTCATTCTGCCTTTCAAATAAGTCAACAACACCAATCTTTTTAAAAAAGAGGGAAAGATGATATAAAAGATGATATAAAAGAAAGATGATATAAAAGATGATATAAAAAGAAAGAAAAAGATATCAGAATGGAATTTAAAAACTGAGAGTGAAAATGGGGACT